TACGCCCCTGGTAAATGGAACGTACATATCAAGAAATATTTGGCAACTGCCAATGTTAATGCAGTATAAGTTGACTGTCCTACAGGGAGCATGAAACATATCTATGCATGTCCAATTCACTTTTATTCAGAAAAAAAATGTGCATCCATAACACAACTTGTCATCTCAGGAGTGGCAAAAGATCGGCACCAAATTCCCTTCACAACGTACCTGTATAAAGGCTTAAAAAAAGTATTGATCAACCTGTGTGTTTGCAGAAAACACATATTAAAAAGGCAGGGTATGACATTTTTTTTATATAGATTTCCACTAATATGTACATTGTTAGTTCAAAAATATAATTACATATTACGAATATATAATAGGGTGCTGAGAGTGCAATGTCCTCAGGTGCAATTGTTCTTGCCTGCTTTACAAATTGCACAGACTAATGATTAAGTTTTTCCTATGTCCATTAAACAAAAGGTTTTCAACTAAACAGAAATATTGTGTTTCGGTTGTATTGTATTAGTGTTTTCAGTCGCGCGGAACATTAAGAGCACAGTATAAATGAGTATGCACTCAGTTCACAAGGTTGGTACACAGGGAACAAAAAAAATGGCCTGAATGCCCTAAGCTTCAACTGAAAGAACACTGTACCCTTAGAACAAAGAAGATGTGTGTCAAAAAGCTGCATGACTGTTCTGGGTAATACCCAATTAATGAAATTTTCTGATTGGATTTAGTTTTTTTTTTTTTTTTTTTTTTCATATAGAAGTTTAAGGAACCTGGTAAAATAATGGTTTTGATTTCTCAGTTTGCAAAGCATGTTTTTACACATTTGGTCATTAAAGTCTAGTTATCAATGTTAGTTTCAATAAACAGCAAAGATAACACTCTGTGAAAGTCTCAGTACCCCCTCCCTCTACGCATATTTGAAGAAATCTATCTCAGAGCAGGTCTGAATATAATGTATAATTTTATATTGTTGCATATTTTCTAAAATATAATTTCTTTTAAAGTTTTTAAACAACAGTCTGATTTGAAAAAAAAAAGGAAAAACTTTCATCTGAAATTAGGTTAGAGTTCTAAACTTCCAATTCAAAGGGGATTTAAAGAAAAATGGGCAAATAATCTATTAACCAAGACATACATCAAATCAAACCTACAGTTTCTCGTTGTGCAACTAATCTTTTTATAACAAAAAACATGTCAGTAATGCCTCTTAAAGCACAGGGAGTAAGTGTTTAAGTCAAGCTTAGCATTGCCTTATGTATTAAATCACACAGGGGTGGAATTTAATGGTTTAAACAGGATTTTTCAGCTAAAGTTTTTTGAGAACCAAGGTAGTTACAGGCTAATCAGTCCAACAGTTCAATTGTGCTGAAGTTATCACATAGCAATCAATTATAGATCTACCGTGTGCAATGGCAGGCTTTTTATCATTATCAGTTCAAATGCCCATAAAGTAAAGTTAACAGATTACAGGTTAGGGAGATTTTGTCCCACTATTGAAACTTCAATAATAAAACCAATTTCTATTCTCAAAGCTGACCTACTAGTTCATAGTTTCTTTTTCGGGGAGAGTTATTTATGTCTTCAACTGAGCTTTGTACAAAATATATATAACAATAAATTACAAAAGTAAGAAAGAAAAATGTCACAGCAACTTAAAACAAAAGCTACACTACTCTCTAGTCTAAACGTTACAAATTATAAGTGAAAAAATCTTTTTCCATAAGGAGACATTTGTCTCTGACTAAAGCTTATTTCATATGGGCAATTATTGCTTTCCACTGAAAGAAAGGTTATTGAATACCTATCTATTTGTTCATACCAGAACAAGACAACTAACCCTGAAATCAATAGATTCTTTTTTTGCATATGGAGTTGTTGCTGAGCCTCAGATCAATTACAATGTTAATAAAACTGGCAAACCTGAATCTTGACCATGTTTATTCAATACAACCAAAAATTTTAAAGCATTACTTTAATACACAGAGAATTTTTTTTTAAATGTAATACTGGACTCCCAAAGTTAAAACAAAGATGATATTGTGTCCTCACCACAAGGAATTCTGCTTCATAGACACTCATGGATCATGTACATTAGCAATGCTGTAACCATACCCTTTCTCTCCCTTCCTTCTTTTTCTTTGATCTTTTTCGTCATGCCATTTATCAACCAAATCAGATAAGATACATAACAAAATGATCTGGTGAAGAGAGTCTATGTTTGCCAAGGTCAGTATTATCAGGTGCAGACAAACCAGCTTCCATGCAATTTACATTACATATCTTGTCAATAGCCAAGCCTACAGCTGCTTGACACAGTTTAAACTTTCTGCTAACACAAATAATTATAATAGCACCTTGTGTACATCACATTGAGTGTTACTAGTAAGTGTCTGAAAATTGGTGGCATATATCTTTGAAATCAATTCATGCCAAAAGTAATCCACTACCATGAATATTTCTTGACAGTATTGTATAGTATCATCCTGGTAATGTACCATTTACAGTTTTCTTTATAGAAAGAAGACTTCTAATAGATATTAAAGCATGCATCAATGACACAGTTTCAGTAAGTGATTTAGTAAAGGCACATATGAAGAGTTTAATTTAATAAAAATATGCAAAAAATCTAAGCATATAAAGCCGAAAAGCCTTAACAAGTTAAATGCTTTAGTCCAACTACAATAATATAAATACAAAATTTATGACAAGAAATTATGTTTATGTTGTAATAGTAGTTTTAGATAGCCTGTTGATCCATTTTTATCACTATAAATTGATAACAGGTGTATCGCAAAAAAAATTCAAACTGATCAGAAAAATATCTTCTGAAAGGTAATACAAAACAGACTGCAATTCTTTTGGAATTTTTTTAATATTCCTACAAGCAACACAAGTTTTTAAACTGCTATATGAGACTCAACGTGTCCTTACTTTTCAGCCCAAAACCTGTGACCACTGACCAGCACATCAAATTAACTATACTTTGCATCGTTCAATTTTCATGGGTTTTTTACATTAGATTGCAAATTTTCTGAGCTTTTAAATGGTATATATTGCACAGTGCTAAAAGAAAGATTTGAAAGGGATGCCATATGTGACCTGTGAGCAGGATGGTCACAGCTTTGTCAGCACTACAGCTGGACAGTGGCTACCGTGGTACCCCTGGTATACAGTGATATACCTGTTGATGATAACTACTAGTACCTACTGGTACATGGGGTCTTACCAATTGATTTACCAGAAAATTCTTGAGGGCACCAGGTGAATATTCATTACTGATATCAGTCATAACTTTAAAATTGTTTAGGACATAATTTCTTGTATTTCCAAGTGTTGTGCCCCTGCTGACTTCCACTGGGTGGATTTATTGAATAAATAATTTGCAAGGTTATTGCACTGTAGTGATACATGGGTGTTATAATTTGAAACATTTAAATACCTAAAACAGCAAAATATTTTGATTTTAAAGTAAGCAATGCAACTTGCAATCATGTTACTGGATTATAGTTGCATCAGGTTTGGACGTGTAAAACATGATGATGAAGCACACGTAGAAATATATAGTTAAGACAAAATAGATGTATACATACATTTCTAGTGGCACTGGCTTCCTAGTATATCTTCCTGTCATATTATCTGTTTTCCTGGTTAAACCATGCTGTTGCACGTTTCCAACTACAAGCATTTTCTTCGGTCATGTGGAGTTATATGGTCGCCGTGACTTGACGGCATAGTCAGATCATAGCTCCAGGTTTCGACTTCAGTTGGTTCGTTCTCGATGTCCCGATTTTGTTGTCATCGTGCAACTACATTGGATAAGAAAAGCCATTTTCAAATATACCCTATTCAATAGCCATTTATTATTCAGAAGATAGAAAACAAACTTAATTTTAGACGTACCTGACGTAGTAGCAACAACAAACAACATGGCGGTTCTGGTGTATCCCAGCATGCATTGCGTGGGGCCCCAGCAATCAACAAAAAGTCAACTTGCTGCAAAGTGGTGCATATTACTTGTTTTGCAAAATTGGTTCAGTTTTATTTGGTTTTATTTTCATTCCCCAAGACAATCCATGAAATAAAATCAAATCACACTGTCTAAAATTAGTTTTCCTGTATCTGTACAGCCAAACATTTAGCTGACAACTATGATGCCCACAGATGATGCAAAAAATTGGGAAATTCCTGATAGAAACGTTAAGAGAAGAAAATATTTTTAAAACTAATTGCTCCTTCCAAAATCCTATTTACTGTTACCACCTAAGTCCCCTTTACTTTGGATATGCTAGTACTATGCATGACAAAAATTGTCATTTAAAAAAACTTTAACAATGAATGCACTTTAAATATTGAATTAGATGAAATATTTCATATGAACACAATATTTGTCTCTGCATTTTTTTTCTGCCATAAACGCAAAAACCTGTCCATGCTAGCTGAAGCTTTTTTTTCAACCATTCAATGACCGGAAATAATATTTTGAAATATTGCATGTTCATTTAACTTTTGTGAGTGACTGGCACAGAACCATAATCAGTTTGCTTCATTTTTTGTGTATTCAGCCTTGATATGGGAGTTAAAATTAAAATACTATGTACATTTTCGATGTGTTCAAAACTCCGTATCCCTTGTTCTATTAAAATCGGTGAATTTCATATGCTACTTTTGGAAAATTTACTTTATTTCATATAAAATGAACAATCCATTCTGTTGTATAATTTCTTTGTTAATTATCAGGGCAATATTATTTTTACAAAATAGTTTAATATTTATCATATTGATAAGTATCAAAATGGCCATCAAGATCCAATTTTTCCCATTTTAATCCAAGTTTTATGAAGTAGGTACGCAGATAATATTTATACAATTTCTAATGACTTCTTCCTTTCATTGAACTGCACAATCAATTCTTTCATTCACTTTTGGTGTACAAGCAGGTATCCCATTTCTTTGTTCAGAAAAGCTCTTAGAAAATTCATCAGTGGCAACAGAACACACTTTCATATTTCATTTAAATGGGTATTTATTTTCTTCTTTTTCCACACCAAGAGCTTGTTAAAATAAAACTGCTATTCATGAGTTCCTTACCAGATTTTATCACAGTTCTATAAGTGAGTACTATCATTAACATCATATATATATATTTATATTCCAAGCATGCAAAGTGCGCTTCATTGAAATGAAAGAATAAGTTAAGCAATGCATGCCATCAAGCCAACTTTCCAAATACTGTGAATTCTCCAAATTGTTTTGGGGAAAATACTTAAATATATTTCCAAGCAATCTCCCTTTTTCCACATGAAGATGACATTTATGCATGCTTTATCATATTACACAGGTCATTTCTACAGTATAAAATATTATTGACTTTTACATGACCACATCTTCAACCTACATTTTTGTTGTGAGAAAAATATGATTGCAAGACTGAAAACACTAACCGATCAACAAATTAAAACTGGCCCAACATTTCTGTCTCAGCTGGCTTGGCAAGTCGGCATGCTGAATTCATTTTTTGGAAAGTTAACAAAGTAAACCCAATCATGAAAAGAATTTAGTAAATAACAAAGGATCTGTGGACCTTGTGACCCCCTCCCTTCCCCCAAACTAGCTCATGGCATATCATATTGACAGGCTGGGCTCATTCTATACATGACACCAAAATTTGCCAAAATCAGAAATTCTTATTTTCTAGAAAAATGCCAGTACATTTACCTTTTGCAACACTTATCAGTCATTCAGAATTCAGGTTTGTCTTAAGTGATCAAGCAATATGGCTTAAGAACCAGAGCAGACCACGTAACCGCAGTCTTCATTAGTTGCCATCATAACAGCAGGCCATAAATAACATTAGCATGCCTTATAACTTCCTCGATATCCTAACCTGTAGGTGGGATATATTAAAGACAGAAAGGCCAAGTCCAGAAAAAGTGCTTTCTAGTAGAAAAGATGTGCTTACTGATGTGGTTACTATTGCACTGGACGATTTTATTATATTGTGAAAATAATATTGTGAAAATTATTAGAGCATTTCAATAGTTGCCATACAAAGAAATTTGGACATTCAACTGGTACACCATTTCTTCATCCAATGAAAATAGCAAATATCAAATTGATAGGGATATATATTATATTTTTTAATGTAATATGACTAGTCTTGAGTAAATACCTACAGAATAAAAGACTACAGCATTTAACAAACGAAAAGCTGAATGATATCACTAAAAGAACAAGTTTATGAAATACTTATTTCATTTGTTATTTTTGACTTATAAAAAATGACATTTATGTCATGTACAGAAAGCAGTAACTATGGGATTGACCAATATATTAAACATTTGGAAACTGAAATAACAATAGGTAGTCTACAGCATAATTCTGTATCTTTTGCTGATGGTAAGTACAGCAAAAAGTTTCTGATAACAAGTCAGAAAACAATACTTCAGTCTTTAAACTTGTTGACAAAAGCTCATTGAACTAGTTTAATACATCACATTTTAAAGTGGACATTTCTAAGATAAAAGGAATCGATCACTATCCTCCTTGAAGGGGTAGTTATGATCAATTAAATTCGACCATATGACCAATTAATTGCTATATACCTTGCAACTGTGGGCTCCAAAAATCTCAATATCTAATTGAGCAATAATGCCTGTAATTTTTTAGCAACTATAATATAAGAGTTATGTAGTAAGGTCAATACACAGTTGAATTTTGAAATTCCATAACTTAAAAATACAGATGTATGACACTGCTTCTATAACTGCTGGTCCTCTGATAGTTCGCTCAATGTTTGCTTTAGCTCAACAAGTTCCTAATTTCTTTGTGAATGTGACATAAAAAGTCTACATAAGACGAGGTGCCATTGGATCCCTTGTCTTCCACCATATAGTGCATAAACCATGGCTCTAACTTGTCTCTCTGACGAACAACGGTTAACTGAAAGTGATGCAAAAGATTTTAAAATGTGATTTATATACAATAACCAATGAATAATATTTCTCATTAAAAAGATATTTGGACCTTGCAATACTAAAAAAAAACCCAAAACGATCATTCACTTAAAAAACGACAACAGTGACTGGAAAATTAATTTATTATGAATACTTTAATAGATACTATTCGAGCAAAAGAAAAAAAATCATAATTAAGAGTGCACAAAAATATACAGACATGCAAGAACAGCCTGTCATTAAGGACTGAATAATAAATGTATCAACATTTCTTACTTTCATATTCCTATGCCTCTCTTGGTTAATTTTGGCAATAATACCACGGACCCTGATGGACATTGGGTTGTCAAGTTCCAAAAGCTGTCCCTAATAATAAAAATATACACAATAATCATGAATATCAGTGCTAGCTAAAAACAAACAAAAATTAATCAGTTTTTTCTTCTGCTTTAAATTTGTAAAATGCTGTACAATCTTGGGAACTGGATACCACAGTTGTGTTCTGAAAAACCTACAGTTGACAACACCTTTGTATATCCTTACCTTATCTATGTCAACTTGGGCTGCAGACTGCACCCCAAACACCTTGTGAATCCAGTCTGGGTTAGCATTCATACCAATCCACATAAACATAGACAGCCCATTCTCTATTAAAAAGAAAACCATCAATATAATTTTAGAACTGAAAACCTTCAAACAAGCTTCATGCAAAATTGCTATTCCTTTAAAACTGTTAATTAAAAATTATGACTGTGGAGTTTTATCATACACTGCTAATTTGGGCATTTGAACAGGTGAGGTCACATTCCACCCAACAAATTGCTAATATGTGACCCTAAAATATAACTCTGCCTTCAGAGATTGGGAACCGTATACAGGGAATTTTGTTTTTTTGATTACGAAAAGCTGGAGGTCAAATACAACATTAATTCAATATTAATTCTTAAACCATACCTAGTATGTACACTCCAGTATCCTTGAGTCTCTCTGCGGAACACCTGACCAAAGGCGGCATACTGGTGGAATCTACATCAAGGTCATGCTGGAAAAATAAAAAAATAATAACCATGGTCATTTAAATGCTACTAAAATAAACATTCCATGATATGGACAATAAATAAATAAATAAATAAATAAATAAATAAATAAAAACATTGAGATGAGATTTTAAAAACATGTAAAAAAAGAGACTACTGCACTAAATGATAATTTAACATATTTAAACACAATGAAAACTGATACAAAGAGTTAAATCATCTTTTTAATGCAAGGAAGTATTAACCTTCATTTAATGAATTTTCCAAATATAGGCTCTTGCCTAAGTGATACTGATCATAAGACCCAGTTGTTCTTATTAAATAAAAATCATTTGGACTACAACATGTATTGACTGATGTCAGACTACCTAGACAAAAAAATCAATGAAATTTCAGATTATTGAATTCCATGCAAATGACCTCAACAAGCAAGGCATTCTTATATCATATTGCGTTAAACAGCATTGATCCTTTTTTGCCTGGTCAAAGGCAAGCACCCTTTCTACATAAATCCCCGCCTTAAGTCAATATTCTATTGACACTTCCTGCAGATGAACTACTGACAGAAAAGCCCTCTGTACCTTGTTCTAAGGGCTAGAGCAAAAGAAAGGGTACTTTTAAGTTTCACTTGCTGAAGAGAGTGCTTGATCTTGTTTATCGTGACCAGTTAGATGATGGCCATGCAAGCTTAGGTTAGAGTCTTCCTTTCTATTCCAGTGAGCAAACGAGAAAAAAGACAGGAAAAAATCAAAAACTAGAGTCAGGAAATAGTTACATAATTTCTATTTGAGAAGAGACCCACTTCCAGCCAAGCTGCTGAGCAATGCTTATTCAGACAAAACCACTGAATGTACAATGCCGTAAGCAAAATCCAATGTAATAATTGCCCTAAATGAGGTTTTCCAGAACTTAAATCACAAATCAATGCCAGAGGCTGGACAGCCAATGAACAGCACATTCCATCCGCTGAAAGGTGTGGGGGAAGTGATTACCTGGCTGTATGTAACAGGAGAACCAGGGAGGTCATAGGGGGTTCAGGATCAATAATCCGATTAGGTCTATAAAACAGAAGGTCGTTAATCTCTGCTTACTAAGGCTGTACTGTAATATATGTAAGTTTAACACCAAATCATTAGAAACCTTATATACCTATCATTTTCTTAAATTCAACATGTATACCTATTAATAAACCTTGTTGTAGAAGCTTACAATAAGATATAAATGAATCAATGCAGACTGAGAGAAAACAAATTCCAATGGTAATTTAAAGTAAATTGTAAAAACATTACACCATCATGAATTACCTGACTTTTGAAGTATCTGTTTTCTCCCTATATTTCAATCAGACTATTTTTTTGAAAATACAAAACCAATGTAGTAAAGCAATTTTAAGCACATTATCAATGCAATTTTAAATCAATAATGCCTTAATACTACTGTTTCTCTAACATCTATTTATTACTTTTATAATTACAAAAATCAAATATCTTGTTTGCTTTGCCTGATATACTTTTATGTACAGCATTGGATTTGCATGGCTGAATATCCAGACATGTCACAGGAGAGTAATTGAGGTCAGAATGTTAATAAAAGTATTATTTGTGCTGTGTACATACTAAACACTTTTGGGAATAACTCATCTTATTGGTGCTACTACAACATAATCACCTATGTATTGACAAAATTCCAACGTGATTTTGTTTTCTTTGGCTTTTCCTAAATGAAACAATGGGTTTGCATTGTATAATTCGAAGACATGCCACAGTAAAGTAATTGAGGTCAGAATGTTAATAAAAAAGTATTTTGAGTAATAAAACTTATCTGATGCTTTCTGTACTGTTCACATACCAAATGCTTGGAAGATAATAGAGTGAAAAGGTATTTCAGAAAATGGCTCTTTTAACTATATAATGAATTAACATATGTGAGATTTCTCTGAAAAGTAATAATGCTCAAGCAAGCTACATCCCCAAATTACAGATTTTAAAAGTTTTCTGAAAAAACAGACACAGATGTGAATTATGTTTGCTGTCAATACTAATCCAGGAAAAAAGAACAAAAAAATATAGACTTGAAGAGCAGATATTAATGGTTTTATATAAAAAAAGTCCTGAGAATCATGTCATGTGATCCTATTATGTCAATACTCTAGGCACTGGGGTCAAATGTTAATGGGTTTTTACTAAGCAAACATTCACTTCTCCAACAGCCTTTGGTTCCTGTCCTATTGATTAAAATATAGAAAATTAACTGAAAAACATTTTAACTTGAGAGGAAAATGCAAAAGAATTGTATATGCAACGAATGTTAGCCAACTGTATACAAAGCAGATCAAATTCAGTATAGAACAATACTGCTTTAAAGACAAACTAGCCACAGTAAAAACATTTTAATAAAGCAATTCTGCGTTTCAACCAGTCACAACTGATGCAATTACAGGAATCAAAACCATTTGCAAAGATGAAGCCATCTTCCCATTGGGGCATCTCAAAACCAGAAGTAGATTAGATGACATTACCAAATGACCAGACAACTGAGGCCCCATTTTGCCCCATGTCCTAAAATAATGAACACAGTTGCTTCTTGTACTGAAAATGTCGACAGGTTAAAACTCTGACTCAGCTACAGCCATACTTCACTCTTTACTGCCCAAAGTACTTGCTCTAGCATCTGGTAATAAGCTCTCCAGCTAGTATGCTTACTGCAGTCACAAAACTTGGATTTAAGTAAGCACAAGGCAGACACTGGCCTCAAACTGACAATATGCCACTTGTGTACAAATATTATTCAGACGGTACTCACCAGAGGCATGAGTCTGGGATAGAAGAAAACATGTGAGGCAGACACTGGCATGGAACTGACCAGGTGCATCATGTAGCTGCGGTCATCTGTGGACACATCACCACCTGAAGAAAAAAATGTTCTCAGTAATCTGCTCGATGACATAAAATTTAGAAATATATAAACAAATTTATAAACCCAGGTTTAGTTATGGACTTGCAGTTCAGTTTAGGTGTGCATATGAGTACTAATTTCTTTAAATGTGCACAAATTTTTCACATTTTATGTGGCCACCAGATTTCATTAATCATTATTGCTGAGGCAAAAAATATCAAACAGTCAGCTTCAATATGCCATTCTTCCCCATCTCACACAAATATTTTGAAATCCTTCTAATCAACTAAACATGTTTTAAAGAGTATGACTTTAGATCAAAAACTGAATATGCTTTAAGCACAAACTTTCACCCACCAGCCTGAACAGCATCGCTTTTGATTAGACAGTTTGCGTAACAAGGCAAGAGTTTCATGCACTCTGGAAGGATCAGCTGCCCTGCTGAGGAGGGGCTGGCACAGTTCTTACGATAACAGGCCAATATCTGTGCACAGGAATTGATCAACTTCTCCCTGACCTCTGCTGGGGGGACACTCAGGGCATCCTTGACGGCTGGAAAAAATGTCATAACTCATAAAAATTAATTTGATGATACCATTATCTCTGGCAAATATATAGACATTTAAAAAGTAATTTTCATTGCTCCATTTTAAAATAAACAGGCACATTCAAGGAAACAAACAAAAAAATATCCATCACAACAACATTTGAAATGAGTAACTTAATGAGCAGTGCATATTTGGACAGATCAACTGGCCTTCTTACAAGCATTATGGTCAACTCAATATTATGGTCAACATTTTTTAAACACTTTAAACACAATTATGATAAAATACAACATCATACCAATTTTTTTTGTGTGTGTGTGTGTGTGTGTGTGTGGGGGGGGGGGGGTAAAATATTTGAACATTTTTCATAGTAACCTTTTTTGGACAGCACACTGATAAGTGTGTCCAGCTCACAGCTCCTGAAGACATCAGCCAACTGTGTGCAGCAATTCATAGACAAATTGTGTATCCTTAGCCGCCTCTGGCCATTGATGCTGGTGTACAGCAGAGCCACCTAGTGAGCAAGGAAAAAAATGAAATTCACTTTAGTAGGCTAATGAAAGCATGCAGTTTTTTTCTCTCTTAAACAACATAACATCTTAATTTTCATTTTGTCTTTTTGAAACAAGAACAATTTTTTGCCATTTCTGTGATGCATTTGTTAAATAGCAAATGCTTTTCCTGTTGTTATAGCCTTGAACTAATACTGAGCAACCGTTTTATTCATTTTATGTGATCAAAGAACCATTCCTTGAAACCACTGTATGTGAGCAATTTGAATGTTTGAAGAGCACTCCTTTGATTCTTAACACAAAGAGAAAAGCACCGTAGAGATGACTACTTACTTGAACATAAGCCCCTTCTTCCTCATTGAGTTTATCATCATGTTTAATCTCCACACTGATTGCCTTATCAGTGTCTACTGTGGCCAGTTCCACATCAGTGGTATTTGACATGTAGAAATTGCCCCAGAAATCTACAGGCCTTATACCTGAATAGGAAAAAAAAATTACCTCTAAATATTTACCACTCAAAAAACACTCATATAATTCAATGTATCAGCCTTTATTCAAAATTTAAAGCTCAATTTCATGAGTTGCCACATTTTCAATGGCCTGAAATTGGGCCCATATTTTACAATATAAAGATTGCAGTTCTAAAGTGATTTAGTGCTGTTGTCCTTTTTTAAATAAAATACACCAAATCCTAAAAAGTCACTGTGCTTACCTGTACTTGTTCTTACTCTCATGATGGCATCAAAGCCCACAGGACGATTTATATTGTTCTTGAGGTCGGACATAAAACGCTCACCATCAAGGTCACCCTAGAAAGAACAGCTCACAATAGAATTTAAACATCAATTTACACGATGAAGGTATGGGGATGATTAACTGTGCAACTCCTCAGCAATGGCAAGTGATTTGGTGAGATTTCAATTAAAAATCCCCAAAAGATAACACAGAGCCAAAAAAATTCACATCATGCAGAGGCAGAGTACACAGCAAAAAAGAAAACACCATTTTTATAAGAGGATTATCTTTAACCCTAAATTTTCATTACAAATAAAACAACATTACAAAATTTATTTTATCATAAAAGTCAATTCAAGTAGAGCAACAAATCTAATCTGTAATGAAAATGCTCATTCACTTCTGGAGATGCTGAAGAAAATCATCCACTAAATCACGACTAGCAGGGCTATTTGGGTATAGCTACCTACTGATGCATATTTATGAAAACAGATGTTTGGCCTAGAATATGTACGGTGAAGACATACAGTTCAAGCACTATCAACAAGCTTAATTTCCGTTAGTCTATCATTTAGAAAGAACAATGATATAGGTAAATATTTCCAGAACTGTTTCTAGCAATCATGAAATGGGGGAAATACAATGAGGAAAAAACATCATCATACAGTCAATCCACCACATAGCTATATTCTAGCCTTTGAAACCACTTCAGTCACCCTTCCTGCCATTGTTTTTATTATAAAATATCTAGGGTAAAGCATTGCCAAAGAAGGACATACAACAATCATGATAACAAATCAAATTCTCCAACTTCTCTTCCAATTCTAGTACTAGTATTCTTCATCCAGTAAATTAAGATATGATTATGACTTATGAATCCACCTAAGTTAATCAAATCCCATTTCCGTCTCCCAAATTTATATATTTTGAGGATGAATAAACAGGTTAAGTCCATACCAAAACTAGTTTAATATATATACCTGTTATAGATTATGGACAAAAGGACCACCTATACTTCAGTTCAAAATAAACATCAATTCCATCATTTGTTTTTCAATGTCTAACCTGCCCTTGAACATGTGTAAACATACCAAAAACAACCCCTGAACAGAAGAAAAAACAGTGACATGTTCTTACACCAATAACCAAAGTTAAATTCCACTGATTTGTAAGCTTGCGAGTTAAACATGACAATAACACAACAAAGATTCTACCAAGGCCTTTAATATCACACTCATCCCCATCACCATATACTAACCACATGAACATTCATACATTTTCCAAAATACCCCAGGAACAGCACATTGACCATTAGTTCTACTCTGCAGTTTTCACCATACAAACATTACCATCAAAATGAGTGAGTCAAATCAGCTTCTGTTTACTACAGGGGTTTTAATCTATACCCAAATGCCCAATACACAGCAAAGCTCCACATATAAGTACTCAATGATGCTTTAGAAAATATTTCATAATGCAGAGATTTACTGTGTACAAAAGATATATATACAGAAATGTAAAATAAGCACTCACTAGTTTTGGATCCTCACACTAAAACATAAGAAGCAGTTATGCAATAAAAGGGAAAAGTACTCTAGACAGAAAGGCTACATCTCGAAACAAATACCAGTTAGGAAATATAAAAGATGATATACATGTTATACTCTAACAACTAATGTTTATCATGAATAACAATGCTTTACATGCCCATTTCTGACAAATTTCTCTTCGTTCCCAAAAAAAGAAAGAATCAAAAGCACAAATGCAGAGCACAACTACGTTGCAGTCTTCAGTTTCTATAAATATATATATATCTCACCTGGAAATATTTATACATGTACACCTGGCCTCCTGTTAGACGGCATACTTCTCCTATTGACGCTACATCGATGTACGAGTTAGGGAAAAGGAAGAGATCCACCCCACAGCCAGCTGATACACAGTCTACCCCTAACTTGGTGTAGAAATTGTCGTGGGGAGCTAAGATAGTCTGAAAACAAACAGCAATCAAAACTAAGTACAACAATTACTAATGCAAATATTTGGCCTCAGCCTTGCTGATTGGGAGGAAAATTAAAAATTCAACAGTCAAGATAATTTTCATCTAAAGATATAGAAAGAAAAGACATGAAGTTAGGTATGGACACGAACTGTAACTGTCTGCTCAAACACAAACAGGTTTCAGACAAGCAGAAATCAACAGAAATAAAACATGTTAATACAAGGATCAAGCTAACATAAAATATATTGTTATAAAATATATTGTTATCATATTCCCAAAGTTTTTTTCCTCTTAGCAAAGAAAATGAAAAACATCTAACCATGGTTTTATCAATACCTTTTCTTTATCAGTGCCCAGAAGTTTTCTGTCATCTCTGTTCCTGAGCTTGCCAGGGGCCTCAGCTATTGGCAATGAAGTGTGAAAGACAAACAGTTTCCCAGCACAGTCGGCAGCCTTCAGGGCATCCAGACCAGCCTGTATCACAGGGCCAAGACAAATCTCTGTCTCTCTGGTGTCAGCAAACAGCTGAGGGATCTGGGCAAGGAGGCTAAATGGGACAATAAAGAATATCATTTTTATGGTGTTATAATAATCTACCATGTTCCAGTTTTCAGTCAAATATAACTACATTGTAATATTCTTAGTGACTGTGTAATGTATGTTTAAATATATAAGAGGAGACTGGTGATTTCTAATCTGACTTAATAATTAAATCGACCAAGGTTAATATTAAGAAAAAGCTTTTTTGGTGGCTCCTTCACCAAACCACATAAAGCAAAATACAATTCTGAGAATCCAACATTAACAAAACCATGTAAAAATGACCATATCTACATCTTTGCTACTAAAGACATACTTACGTGTCAATGACAGCTTCAGACTCAGATAATTTGACTAGGAAGCCATCAAGGAGGGGTAGGAACACATCATTCACATCTGACACCACCAGCATCTGGGGCTGAGCCAGAGCACCCTGAAATAGAGACAACTTGATAAAATGATATGGTCATGTTTAACATACACTTATAACTTTTTTTTTTTTTGCACATTTTGTCAATTTTCACTTTCAAAATGCAAAAGTGTAAAATGTTTCCTTAGTCAGTGAAGTAACACATTCAACTATAACACTTATCTATATATGTTCTGGGAATTTTCAAGACTCATCTTTGAATGGAGCTACAATGATAGATTTTCTGACAATTGCACAACATAGGCTGAATAGTGTGTGCAGAAAAATCTCAAGTACATTTAAGAAGTAACAAAGCTCATGTAAAAATAATCGTTTAAAAAACTCATTAACAACCTGAATAAAACTTTATTTCAGTAGTAAATGGTAAGCAGAATAGATAAAAACCCATTTATCAATCACTCACCTTGACATTATAAAAGTGAAGAACTTTGTCATAGGTTACAAAACCTACTCTAATTTCAGATTCAGCAGCACCAGTTTCTCTAAAAATAGAGAGCATGTATCTTTAAAGTGTGACTACGTACAACTTATCTTGGTGTATAATGACCATCTGCCTTCAAACAAACTTTGAAATGTACTCACACTTCAATAATTTGAAAATGATTACACCAATATTCAGTTACGTATATAAAATTATAATTGTTGTGTATGGTTATTTAAGTCTTACATCATTACAACCTCTTCTGAACCAGCTACTAACACTCACTTCGGTAAGTTGACTAAAATGTCATTTTTCAGTCTAGAACAGAGGAGCTCCACCAGACCACTTTTAACACTGTTGTAGGAGACATCTAGCATGAAGATATAGGCAGGTGGTTTTGGGAAAACTCCATTCTGAAAAACAGAAGACAAAATTTAATTAAGAGCACCAGAATCATCTAACTGCATAAATGACAGAACGGACATTATACTACCGGATTTAAAATGCATCACAAATCACTAATCATATTTGATATACAACATCATAATGATGAGCATTCCATGTTTTTGTACCTAAAAGATGCACAATACACTACTTATTTGAAATAAATATACTGAATAACATGCTCACCAATACTCCTCCACTTGTAAATAATCAAATAAAATAAAAGTTAAAGCAATACAACTAACCTTGCAATACTCCTTGGTGGCAACCATTTCATAAGAACCTAAGCAGAGCTCTGGTCTGTCATAGCAGTCTACTCTCCTGCCTGTGTGGTCTAGATGAGCAAAATACTCAGGTGGCACTGCAACGGATTAACAAAACATGTAGACAAAACCAAAAATATTCAGGTATAATCAAGAACTAAACATGAACAAAGTTGAGAGTGAAGATGAGGTATTAATAGAAAAAAATCAGTTCTTTCCGAGTACAATCAAGTTTGTATCAAGCAAATAAATTATCTTTCTCTATAGAACACTGAACACTGAACAGGTTAAAATAATTCTCTGGTATTTTATAAGAAATTATGAAGTTGCTATTTCAGCAAGTCAGAGTAAAAACACATTTTACGAGAATACAAAAATTAACATTAACATAAGTTGATATGAAACACACAGGCAGGCATATCTTGATATATTTCAAAGTCTTTTTAATCCATTAATTTTCACATGTATGCTTACCATCAGTTGCAGCTCCACAGAAGACGCACTGGAATCTCCTGCCACCCTCGATATACTGCATGTAGGGGCACATATATGCTTTACATCTCTTACACCTGACAGGACCCATCTCACCAAGATCCACAAGAGGAGGGGGCAGCTGAAAAAAAGGGCGAGAGTTCTCAAACAATGAATATGTGATTTTTGTAAAAAAAAAAATAAAATGAAATAAAAAGCTGTGGCTTGTAGTTGAACATCCAATATGACTTAAATTGTAAGGCTTAAGGAAAACTGAAAGAATAATGAATTAAGTACTAGCAGTTAAATGAAACATCAGGCTGCAAATTCCTTTTCCCTGCATGTTATTTTAATTTTTATTGTTTGTATCACGAGTACCTACCTCCCCTGGCTGAAGTCTTGCAAAAGGACTTATTGTTAAGGCAATAGGTATATGGCACTGCTTTATCATGTCATTTGTGCAAGGGATATTGTACATTACTGAACGTATAAAACGTGGATTGGCATTGCCTGCAAGATAAAATAAAGGACACAGTGAACTTGAAAAAATTATTTGGAAAAGATGCAAACTATGTACATCACAAACATATATATTCAAGTCTAATTTCTCACTTATTTTGAGAAAGCTACATGTTCTGAAAGAGCTTCCAACAAAACATCTGATTACATAAAAGGGCAATTTAGTGTCTCCGTAACATAGTTTAATAACACTTTACACACCTTGATCCTGTGTTACAAATTCTGTTGTGACCAGGGGTGGCACTGTTCCCCTCTGTGCTGTCTGGAATACCCCACTGTTAGCCTTCTGATCATCTGTGATCACCTGAATCTGATATCCAAATAATTCACACCATTATGCAAATGTATTAAAAGTGTGATGAACATACAGAAATATTATTCTTTTTACTGCATGTAAACTCATAAACAACTTAACCATTTATCACTTTCAAGCTACTTTTTTGACAAATTCAACAATCTTTATTCTTGATAATCTGTCCCTATGACAGTCAATTCATTCAAATAAGTTTCATCTGGAATGTGTTAATAATTAAATGGGGAGCTTATTATTTCAAACATCAAAAGAAATATCATTTCTCACTGGGTTTCACACCAATTGATCAAATCAACTTACTGGACTAGGCATCTGGTCTGGATCTAGTCTGCGTGGCTGCTGTGGCTGTGACATGCCCATGTTCATGCCAGGGTGCTGCCCGGGGTACCCAGGCTGCTGGTGCATGCCTGGATGAGGAACTGGAGCGCCAGCATATCCGGACTGACCCATAGCACCCTGCTGACCATACTGGCCCATGGGTGGACCCTGTCCAGAGGGCATTCCCCTGGGTGGAGGCCCAGACATTCCCATAGGAGGGCCACCCGACATACCCCCACCCATAGCATTATGTCCTGGTGGTGGGGGCATTTGGTTTTGCATAGATGAGGGAGGCATGCCATAAGAAGTAGGTGGTGCTCCCATGCCTGGTTGATTGCCCATTGAGCTGGGTGGTGCTCCCATGCCCATAGGTGGTGGATGTCCCATTGATGTTGGAGGTGCTCCCATGCCCATTGAAGTGGGTGGTGCACCCATGCCCATTGAAGTGGGTGGTGCACCCATGCCCATTGAAGTGGGTGGTGCACCCATGCCCATTGAAGTGGGGGGTGCCCCCATGCCCATGGATGTGGGGGGTGCTCCCATACCCATGGATGTAGGTGGTGCTCCCATGCCCATGGATGTAGGTGGTGCACCCATTCCCATGGATGAAGGTGGTGCACCCATGCCCATGGATGTGGGTGGTGCCCCCATGCCCATGGATGTAGGTGGTGGGGGCCCCATCTGGTGCTGTTGAGCTCCCTGCATTGGGGGTCTTTGCCCAGGTGAGCCTAATGGTTGCTGCATGCCAGGTGGTTGCATGCCTCCCTGGAAATAAACAATGATGAAAATAAATTACCAAAGCAATGGCTCTAAAAGGAATTACAATTAAGTGTGCTAAATGCCAAAAACATCTCTGCTGTATTTACTATGTGTGGAGACCTATACTTGTACCAGTGATGTCAGTACCTAGATGACAGCACTCGCTTTTCCAACTAAAACTGAATTAATCAATATGCACAGAAAATTACTAGATCTTATAACTTTATCCAGTTTTTAGCTATAGAAAGTGACATTCCGCTTTACCTTTAATTTGCTATGCATAAAAGACCTATACTTACCCTAGGTGGTCCACCTCCTATATTCATTGATGCCATTTGATTCGGGAGCTGAAAAGTTTAGAGCACATAGACGTGTTAGTGCCATGGTCCTGTTTTTCATTTCATTTTTTTTTCATTCAAACAAACAAAAAGATTTTTCTGTTCATCTATGTTAAAGGTTGACATCAAAAGTGAACAGCCAGAATCAATCATTATCCTTTAAACTGAAAACATTAAGATTATCTACAGCATTTTTATCATACCTGATTTATTACACCAGAGGGCGGTGGTCCCCTTTGTCCAGTTCCATGCTGACCAGGTGGACCAGCTTGAAACTGACTAGGACCAGGTGGACGATGCATTGGAGAAGCTCTAAGGAAAGAAAATATCAAAATGATGCTATGTCACCTAACCATTCTCAATATATTTCAATTTGTAAATAATAATAAAATTAATAATAATAATTTATTATTATTATTATTATCATTATTATCATTATTATTATTATAACAATGTCCAACAAGGAATATAAATAATAAAATAAATCCATGCCAATGGATTTAGTGTTTCATGCCCAAAACCTATTCATAAAAAATAGTCGAAATCATACAATTATTTAATTTCATTACTCAATCTGGTTCTCATGTGGTATTAAATTGAGACAAATAAATCACAGACATGTCATGCTGACATTATGGGACCAGTAGAAAGTTGGCCCAAGGGAAAGGCAATAATTTTAATAGCTATCATTTTGAATTTACAGTCACATGTCAGCCCAGCATATCTTTTCATAACTTCTAGTCAGAATATCAAACTGCCTATAAAGTCTTCAGTCTGAAACCAGCTGCACTTATAACTAAATTCGGACATAAACAAGGTATAACTTATGCTCATACATGAATACCTCATTTGTCTCCAGAGCATGCAAAGTAATTTAATTCAAAATAAGGGCTGGTGGTATTCTGACATGCAATCACACAACCACCACAAATAACAGAGCCTTTTCTTATACAATGGGTAAACTCTTTGCCAAAAGGCTCATTAGATAAAGTTTAGCATCTGTTTAAACTTGGGCCTGATCCTGTTTCCAAAATGGCAACGAGACAAAATACTTGATACAGCAGTGTTAAACCAAACAGCATGTGTGTATAAAACCCTAACACAATGCATTCAAATCAATCAATTTTCACTTGAGCAAGACTTCCATATTCTTATTCATTTACCTCTGAGAGAACTGATCCCCCTGGGGTCCTAAACCAGGTCCATTTTGTACTGGACCTGGGCTACCATACCCTGGTTGTGGGGGCATCCCAGCTTTGCTTGCAGGAGGACCTAAATGGCCTAGAGTAGATTGGACAGTTTGCATAAAATATTCAGATCTCAACCAATATTTTCTTAGCAATATCTATGAATTAATTTCTATAGCATTTGCTTTGTACCCCAAACCCTATCAACAACACACATTAATTAGTAAAAGCACCTGCTCTGCAATAATTTTACTATTCACAAAAATAAAAAAAATGAAAAATGCACCACTTTATAGGAACCTTGCAAAGTCGTTTGAGAATGCTGTGTATACAATGATCTAAATTAATAACAAGGAAAAAAGTCTAACAATATACAGCAAATTTAAGTTATATTTATTTAGTGACTCTGTCATAAATAATATTCAAGATGCCTTTTGCAAGTTTGAGATTAGTCAAAAACAAATCGATCTATTCGGACTTAAAACATAGAAATACAGTATCACAATCTGTGACAGAATATCTGTGATCAGAATAAACTTCACAGATAAATCTGGTTTCTACCAATCTCAAACTTGCAATAAGCAAAAGAACATGTTTTAGGCATATAAGCATACATAGTCATGCAGATTTTTAACTTACCTGATGGACCATGTTGTGAGACATTTCCATTATACATCCCTTGCCCTGGGGGACCTGGGGGTCTCTGTCCCATACTTGGACCCCCCTGGGGTGGCATACCATATCCTTGTTGTGGGGGGCCTCCATATCCATGTGGAGGCCCTTGGCCATAACCTCCTTGGCCTGGATCCATAAACTGGGGGTTCATGATATTGTCTTTAGAGTCAGTCAAAACATCAGGATCTGAAATATTGAGGTATAATAGTTAAAAATAATGGCAAACAATACAATAAAACTATTGCTGTCTTTGCTAGGAAACTCATAACATGTGAAGAGGTTTCTGACAGTGTGACCTTGTAATATCAGAAGTTTCACAGTAAACAAAACTAGTTACATATTCCTTCAAAACAACTGTAAAGCTGCAAGAAATTGAACACACAGTTAAAAAGAAAAGACATCGGTTATCTTTCTTAAATTATGAAACCTCTATCTTACAAAAATAAAGTAAAAACAATACCATCTTGACCACATATACCATTGGTATAGTGTTTACATGACTATGGTAATTGTGACTACAGGGATACAGCTACTAATCTTTTCACAAAATAATACATTTAACAACAACAAATATATTACGAGAGAGCATCCACAGTCGGAATGACAGTCAATGACTGCTGAACACCGAACAGATGTTGTTGTTTTAAGTCACGTACGTACACATCCTTATCGCTAATAAATTAAACACTACGCTGTAAACTTCCCAAAATTAACAAGAATCTACACTTAATATGTCCGTCCGGAGATATCTAGAATGAATGTCCTGTGTCCACTCTCTAGCTGACTCGATTCATTGACAAGTAACTGCAATTTGCAAACCAGAAATACTATCAGTATATTCACCGGCAAAATTCTTTCCATGTACAGTACAGTATTTATGAAAGGTTTTGATTAAAAAATCATCCGATGCAAAGGTGAGATCGCAAATGATAGTCCCTGAAAGTATCTTACCTCTACTTTTCCTATTAAAGGGCTACTTATGACACTATTTCTGTCACGTTGACAAGTTGAGGTTTCCTTTGCCACGTACGGCTGAACAAAGTGCCCGGATGTTGTCATGCGCACTGGTGCCACGTCAACAAATCGTGTAGAATTCTGGGATTGTTCAAACATGTCAGCGCCCAGTGTGCACACGTCGGGTTGTTTATGTTTTCCTTGCCGATGTTTTTCTCTTGAATTCCCGAAACAAAATTGCTCTAAAAATTATACAGCGACATTTGTACTTTTTATCGGTACCCTTCTTAGTCTTTTGGTCTGTGTTACCGCCAATCTCGAACATGTTCGTTCTGAGTACCAATTCACGACGCAGTCCGAGTTCCAATCATACTTAAATTTTACTGAAAAAGAGATGACACTTGACTTGCCAATCATCACATGGTGGACCAAAGGACCAGTTCCACATGCAGAAAAAATAAGTTACATAAAATGCCCCAATAGCCAGTGCTACGTAACTACGCTACGAAAATTTGTCGAAGACCCTCGTGCAAGAGGGTTCATTTTTTACGGGACGGATTTTTCGCCTGGGGATGTCCCCCTTCCCAGAAAACGACATCATGAATGGGCATTGTTACACGAAGAATCCCCCATGAATAACTACGTTCTTTCCCATGGAGCAGCCATAGGCATGTTCAACCACACATCAACATTCCGCAGAGAGTCCGATTATCCACTTTCAAGTCAATATATATTTTCTTTAGATTACCTCATCAGTAGACCAGTGGTTCCAATAAAACTGAAAAATCAAATAAAAATGCAGATGAAACTGGCACCAGTCTTATATGTACAATCGCACTGTAATGTTCCTTCTGACAGAGACACCTATGTCAAGGAATTGATGAGACACATTGAGATAGACTCTTATGGTTCTTGTCTACACAACAAGGATTTGCCAGAATCTCTGTCTGATCCTGTTGAATCTATGTTCAAAGAGGAATTCCTCAACTTCATGGCCAACTACAAATTTCAAATAACCTTCGAGAATGCCATATGCAAAGATTACATGACTGAAAAACTTTTCCGTGCCATGCATGTTGGTTCTGTACCAATTTACAAAGGTTCGCCATCTATTAAAGACTGGGTACCTACTGAAAAATCTGTGATTGTTGCAGATGATTTTTCCACTCCAGAGAAACTAGCAGAGTTTATAAAGCATTTAGATAAAAATGATGCAGAGTACATGAAGTACTTATCTTACAAAACAGTGGAAAATATCACTAATAAGTTCTTATTGAAGCATCTGTCACAGCGACAGTGGGATGATGCTTCTGACTTTATCACTGGATTTGAGTGCCATGTATGTGACAACGTATTTAAGAGGCAGCAAATTGAAAAAGCCCATGCCAAAGATAACACAGTGGAACTTCTGCCTCCTAAAATAGCCAGAATGAATCACTTGGGATGTCCACAGCCACACCCATCACTGCCAGATACAGAAAAAGAGTTAGTATTTTTAAATCATTTGAATGCATGGATATTCACATGAAATCGTAAAATATGCATTTTTTTACTCAGAATTTGCAATTAATATATACATGTATTATGAATTTATGCAGCACATGTAAGATCATGTTTTCTGAATTGCTCAAAATTCATATATTGTGGTTTTGTAAACATCTGAGGGACAAGTAAATGTTCTTGTAGGACAGTCTTCAGAAGTCCTTACCATTTAAATGATCAATAATATGTGTAGTACTTTTTTTCTTTGCTTTTATTTAAATGTTTGTTGTTCTTCATGTAGGTCTGAAGAAATGCAAGACTGGATTTCCCTATACTGGTCAGACTTTGACCAGGCACTGGGACTGAGAGAGATGATTCTTCAAAATGAAACAGACTCTAAAAAATTCTCTGGCTATTGGGAAAAGGCTCTAAAGAAGTCCAGCAGGAGGACATAAGGCCTGTCAAACAAGATGTGTCTATTTAAGTGCCAAAGCCTGTGAGAGGGCCTTAAAATGTTCATTCCCACTTGCCATAGACATTTCATATTTACAATTTCAAACTTTATTCAAATCAGATGTATTTCCAAATTGATTTCCTTGAGTTAAAAATGTTTAGGTAAATGCTATTTTTGAATTAGACAAATGCTTTTAGTACTATTATTTTTTAAAATTTTAGTCATGTATTTCTTACTAGGCCATATGATATTTGCACACCCCTTGATTTATCTGTATATATTAAATATTTCCCTCTTGACTTATAAACATTATAACGGCATATGGTATAAATGTGAACAGAAGTTAAATCAATCAGTGAAACATTTATGGCTCAAAGACAAATGCTGTCTTTAAAATTTAATTAACAGCAACATTAAAATTTTGTTACATGTAGAAGCCAATAATTCAGACATGGGGAAACTGACTGTATGACAGGTCATGACCACTTAAGTGTGTGTCCATGATGAGACCAGTCAGAGGGTGGCAAGGTGGGGATCAACAGATTTCAACCAAATTCATAATATAGTTGCATATATAGGAGATATTCACATTGAAGGCAACAATCCCAAAAGAAATCATTGGATATAATTTTAATATAATATTAAATGTTTTGGCCATTTTTGGCTTGATTTTCAGCTTCAGTCAATAAAGCCACTTCATAAGCAAATATGTCAAAACTGATGACTTTTTAAAATAAATTGATAATTTACCTATTTAAACCAGCCATTTGCCATTGAGAATATGTTACTTATTTCAGTTTAACCCACAAACTAACGAGCCACGCCCATTTTTATAACCCCACCCCCCAAACTCACTTTTCTACCAAGCAATGTTCAAGCATTCATATCTCTCTTTTTGCAGGGTTGACAGCCATAAAATTGTATAGGGATCCTGAGCATATATTGGTCTCATCA